ATCAAAGGCCACATGGAAAGCTCCAGCCTTTGGAAGTTCCCATGTGGAAGTGGGAACAGATCACCATGGATTTTATCACTAAGATGCCAAAGACTGCCAAGGTTTTTGATGCTATATGGGTCATCGTGGATTGATTGATCAAGAATTCCCACTTTTTGGCCATCCAGGAGAGCTCTTCAGCGAAAAATTTGGTCGATGTGTATGTTTGGGAGATTTTTACTCATCATGGGGTTCCGCTCTCATTGTATTAGACCGAGATGTTCGGTTCGCTTCCCGATTCTGGCAGAAGTTCCACGAGGAATTGGGCACAAAACTACATTTCAACACTGCTTATCATCTGCAGACTGACGGCCAGAGTGAGCGGACCATCCAGACACTTGAGGATATGTTGCGGGCTTGTGTTGTAGATTTTGGTGGGATTTTGGATTCCTACCTACCTCTTGCAGAGTTCTCCTACAACAATAGCTATCACACCAGCATTAGTGCCCCGCCTTTTGATCTCCTGTATGGTCGGAGATATCGTACCCCATTTTGTTGGGGGGAGGTTGGTCACAGAGTCATGGGAAGGACTGAGGTAGTCCTTTAGACCATGGAGCTTATACAGCAAATCAGCCAGAGACTGCAGACAGCTCAGAGTTGGCAGAAGAGCTATGTCGACCGGCACCGATCGGAGTTGGAATTTTAGGTCAGTTATATGGTACTAATAAAGGTCTCACCCTGGAAGGGTGTGACAAGTTTAGGAAGAGGGGGGAAAAGGGTCCCCATTATATTGGACCATTCCGTGTGATCGCTAGGGTCGATAGGGTGGCCTACCGGTTAGATTTTTCGAATGAGCTCATCCAGATCCACAACACTTTCCATGTTTCGCAGTCGTGGAAGTGCGTGTTGGACGATGAGGCAGTGGTCCATTTGCAAGATATTCAGGTCGATGAGCGCCTGGATTATGTTGAGAGGCCGGTAGCGATAGTGGAAAGGAAGATGAAGATTCTACGCAACAAGGAGATACCTTTGGTAAAGGTTCAGAAGCATAGGAAAGGCTCCGAGTGGACCTGGGAGTCGGAGGCGGAGATGCAGGAGCATTATCCTGAGTTATTCACGATGGCCGACTTTAGGGAAGAAGTCTAGTTCAAATGGGGAAGAATTGTAACATCCCGATGTTGAGGTATTTTAAATTTTAACCTTATGTATGAATAAATATTGCATTTATATGAAATAGTACAAAATGGCCCTGGTGGCATTTTGGTAATTTTGGGCATTGGGGTAGTATGTTGGGCGTACGTGGAGGAAGTTTAAACCCTAATTTTTAGGGTTTGGTCCATATATAAACGTCATTATAGCCTCATTTATCATTCTCTCATCAGCCCCCATCTGAGATTTCGACCCTCTAGCAAATCCTAAGTGAGAAAGAGTGTTTTAAGCTCATTTGTGTGCCTTTTTGGTGTTCTTGAAGAAGGAGAAGTTGGTGCAAGAACCTTGAATCTTGGAAGCAACTTAGATCTACAATTCCACACTTACTAGCAACCTCCATGAGGTAAAAAGGTTCATAACTTCATCACTCTATCTTGTAGATCTAGCCATTTCTTCCTTTAGGGCACTTTTGGTCCCAAATATGGTGATTCTTGATCATAGCAACTTCTTGACCAAATAAGTCGTCCTTTCAAACCTTATGGGGGGTCTTAAGTCATAAAAATGTGGTCTTGATGGTTAGTTTTACTCCATGTATACCATAGAAGGTCTTAAGGCATTAAGATGTTGAGATTTTTTGTATTAAGCTCTTAATGGACATGCAAAGTCATAAAGTTGGAAAGTTTATGACTCTTGACAGGCATTTTAGCCTTGGATATGACTTTAGATGTGGAACTTTGGAGTATTAATCTCTTAATGGGGAAAGGGTTAAACAGACGTCTATATTAGGCGTACCAAGTGGTACGATGCGCGTACGCGATTAACACCCCGTAATTTGGTCAAACATCGAGTATGCCCCGACTCGGCTGAGTTGGCTCGGCTGAGTTGGCTCGACTAGCTGTTGACTTGACTTTTGACCGTTGACCAAGTTTGACCAAGAGTATTTTGGGGAAAATATTATTAATGGGAAATGTTTGGATATTTAGGATTTGAATTGAGTCGGTTGTCGGAGCTGGGAGTTATTCAGACTACATTCAGATTGTGAGGTGAGTTTTCCTCACTGTTTTGTAGGCCAAGACCCCCGGAGACGACCAAATAGGCTGTAAGCCCTACGAGGCGATCCAGACAGGCCGGCGGCCCTTAGAGCGGTTCAGGTAGGCTATAGGCCATGTGAGGCAATCCAATTAGGTCGGCTGCTCGTGGAGCAGTCCAGGTAGGTTGTAGGCCCTACGTGGTGGTCCAGTCAGGCTGGCTGCCCATGTTTGCATGCTTTCTTGTTATGTGGTGTGTTGGTACTTTGGAGGAACTCCCTAAGCATTGGCTTACAATTTTAGTTTTGTTTCAGGTACTTCACATGACCATGGCAAGGCGAAGGCGTGACCGTACACATCCTTGGTTTTATGATTGATTGGATCTTGGGAGACTCTGATTTTAAATAATGTTTTCGAAACAATGGTTTTGTACACACTTCTTTTTAGTAAATAGGTTGTTTTGAAAAGTTTAAATTTGTAGTGATTTTTGAGACGTTACAGAATACATACCCTTGTAGACTTTAATTAAAACTTCTTTTTGGTATCGTTTGGATAAACTAGAACCCAAACCAGATTTCCTTTTATGAAGTCGCAGGCAAGAGTATGATCAAGTAAGTTGAACACAAAGCACCTCCTTTATTTGATCCTTGCAAAACCCGAGAGCCCTAGAAGGAAGGGCTCCTAAAGTTATTCAGGACTGAGAAGGAGAGAGAGAGAGAGAGAGAGAGAGAGAGAGAGAGAGAAAGAGAGAGAGAGAGAAAGAGATTGAGAGAGAACATAAGGTTTAAGCCAAGGATATGGGGGCCGGTTGTTGTATATCCCTTCCTTCTTGGTTAGTCACCATTATCCCTAAAATAAGAGATAATTACTAACAATGGATATTAACATTTAACCCCTTAAGCTTAATTAGTTTCAGATTAACTCAACATAATTTTGATGTGTTAATAAACTAATCCATGCATCTTTCTCTTTGTCAAATTAACTTAAATCATATATTGTGTGTAACCCAAAAGGACCATGCTAATAAATGAAGTCACCAACATGTTGTGACCATGGAAATATTTCTAGCAGTTTCCTACTTGCACATGTCATAACAACTGTACAATCCTACCTTTCTTAGCCTAGCAAGGTGTACATCATCCAAGACTATAACTATACTCATAACTTATAGGTATGAACAGTCCTAAGTAAGTAATCAAATATTCATTTGCTTTATGATATCCTTGTGAACAAAAGACATGGAAGTATGTCATTCAAACATTCAAGATTATGTTTCCCAGTAGAGGTTTATGATGACCAACAACATACTATATTATTGATCCATTATCAACTTAGTTTGAATACGGTCGTATATTTGATCTCAACACAAAATCATCAAGGATCCATTGGATATCGCTTCTTCTGTTATGGCGGGAGTAACAAATCAACTTTAAGATCTCGCCCACTCATCATCTCATACCCTACATTTTTTGTATGGCTGTCAGTTACAAATAACGTTCGAGAACACCAGAGCACAACAGACCGCAGAACTAATAATCTCATGCATCTCCGTTTGTAGAATGTAGAATATTACTATCTCAGAATTACTCGTAACAGTTTCCATGAAGTAATCTTTAAGTTCAGGTTACTCTAATACTTAATCTCCATTAAGTATACATGAGTATTAGTCACATTTCCATGCTTTGTCCATCTCCATGTACAATCTACTAATACTTCATGACCGTCTTAAATCATTATTTACTTCCACTACGACCGAATGTAGAGGATTTGAATAAATTAATATTCAGGAAGTTAAGTAAACATGCAAATTAAATATAGTAATAAACTAATGAAATTGATTGCAATTCCAACATATTATTAAGTCTCCACTTAATAATCATCAAATCAGATAAAATTTACATTGTATAAGTTCCCAAATAAAATCAAACTAAACTTAATACACTTAAACCAATTCATACGAAGGCCCTTTCCCAATTATTTATCGTGTTGGAAAGGTATTATACCAACTTCAACTTCTGCTTTTCCATGTGCATATCCTTAAGCCATATCATCAAGACTTAGAAGACTCGTAACATGGAATCCCCAAGCAAGCACAGAATATAGTGTTGATTTCATTTGATTGAAAACTTGAAGAAATATTATCATACAAAACTTTTTAATGGGGAGTACCAAGCTTCAAGGAATACTTAGCTCAACGGTGGAATTTCCCCGATAATGAAGTGAGTTGGGAAACAAAGAAGGAACTGTAGCAATTTGTGGAAGAGATCAAGATGTACCACGAAGAAGGCGTGACGAGTAGGTCACTTTCTTAGATGGGGAGAGTATAACATTCAAACTTTCTTTAGGACCAAAATTTCTTAGACCATATGGAACATTGCTTCTATACTTCAAAAAGGATATCAAATGCTCACTTTTTAAATGATTTCTCTTTATTTTCATGGCTATTGAGTTACTTATTTCATTGTTTTTTATGGTGTCCTCATGTATATATAAACCATCCCATTCGTTTGCTAGCCAACTTAAATACTTTTATGTTCTCACGTAAAGGATTCGACTACTTGTCTATTATATCATCATTTCCTTGGTTGAGTGTTTGTGATTAAGGTTGGCCAGTTAAGCGCCGCACAACGAGCTTGAATGATAAGTCCATCACAATATCACAACATGCAACAATGAAATCATCAAATCTACAGTAATTCAGAACCTTTCTGTTTGCATAATGTACCGATTTTCGCACTAAATGATATTAATCCGTTGGTTCAACGAAAACGTTACAGTTTAAGCTGTCTATTGCACAAAATTTAACAATAAAATACATATGAACATTTTGTTAAATACAATCAAGGATCTTGGAATCTGGCACTCGTACGTATTTACATCAAGAAGCCAAGTAACATCCGATTCTTGTTCATCTATTTTGCATTCTGTACTAGCTAGCTAGCTTAATTCAAGAATCATTCATGTCTACTACTCCGATGATGATCATCACCATGTTTAGCAAAAGACCGGTGATGAGAAGATGGATGCTTTTTAGAACCATAACCTTTTGGTGGTGGTTCCATGTGCGCACTACCACTGCTACCACTACTACTAGCCTTAGGAGAGTAGCGATAGCGTACATGACACTGGTGACTTTTTGTTTCAGTTGATCGGCTGCCCCTAATTACTACCGATAACATCGCTACCTTGTCACGTGTGTCTTCCGACCTCCAACTTTGACCCACACCCTCCACGTCATCCGAGGTATGTGTGTCATCATGGTGGACCCATATTTCCGCTGTGCTTCCGGGTTTTATTATGCCAACCGCCGGTGCCACCTAAACCACGGTTCCGACTATTAGTTTTTTCTTTTAGAAAATGATAACATTCATCCGAGCACATCCGAGTTGTGCTCGAATGACTGGAATATTTAGGTCATCCGATATCAGATCTAAACAGTTATCTGATATCGGATGATATAGTAGTTGTTTCAATTTCAACTTATGGAAGTTGTTACCTCTAGCCAACGAGGAAATCCGAAGGAACCTCTTTGTCTATACTCAGGCTCTTCATTGTCTTTAATGGCAGAGTGACCATCACATAAGATTTGAAATATGGCATCATCTTTGGTGCTTTTGTTGGTGATTGATAAAGGTCGGGTGTCTGAATTTTGGAGGACGAGCTTGTGTGTACCGAGTGAAGTGTCGGGAACGCAACGTAGTTCTTCACGTATCGATTTTATTTTTTCGTTGGACTTATATATTTTTCCAAATTCTTGTCTTCGCACCGATCTATCAACATGGGCAACTTGGACTTTAAATTTGCAACGAACTGGTTTGTGATCGCTCTCTATCACGTCCATACAAGCTTCATACCTATCAATATCACCAAAAAGTAAAATGATTTTGAATAATATAACACAAGGGTAGAAAGAGAGAAGTTCCCCAGTGAGACCTACAGAAAAATAGAAGCCACAACAGGACATGCTAAACTGCATTCCGATGTTGGAGAAGATCGATTGTCTCGATATAATATCCTGTCACACCAAGCTGGAATTCGCTTTTTCTCCCCGGAATCATATCCTGAAAAAGAAATATCAGTAATCAGTAATAGACTTAGCCTAACATCCTCTTGACAAATTCTTATTTTCTATTAGTTACTGATAATTATTACACTTACCTCCTAAACCTGGTTTTCCTCTTTCAAACTTATAAGTAGGAGGAAATCTGATGAGTGCTTCCCTCATTCCATGAAAAACTTTCCCGGCTTTCATTTCGGCTCTAAGCTGGTCCTTCTCTCTTAGCCAATCAAAACTCCTTTGAGAAACAAAGTCGCGTGCTTCATCATAAGTTATTCCAAAAAGACGATAATTGAAGTCGCCACAAAAGATAACCATATCAGCTTCTGCTAGATCAGGCTTCCCCTCATCCGGATTTATAACCACAGACTGTTACAATAAAAAAAAATAACTCCACGTGAGAATCACACTTTCGTTTATGTACACCATCTCCAACCCATCAAAATGTGTATTTCTAGTATATTCTCTTTTATGTAATTTATAAATTGTCAAAAACACGTGTGATTTTAGTGATTATAAATAGTGGAGGAAACTTACGTTGGTAGGGCGAAGCGATTGAGCAGTAGAGGACACACAAGCTGAAAGAATGAGGATCAGCCATGGGAAGGCAAAGGAAGAAGAAACCCAAAATAAATATGTGGACAAGGCAAGAGAGCAACACAAAAACAGGTATTTCGCCATACCAGAAGTGTTATTGCTTGGTCGCCCAAACGCGATATTTTTGTAAATGTGATCAAAATCTTGGTTGCGCTTAGTCACTGCTTCCAAATGAGCTGCCAGGTGGCAGTTTACAAAGCACATTATTCGATCATATACTCTTAATCTCAACCCTACTCCACCCTGCTCAATAAACCATAACATTATCACAAAAATATATATATATACACTTTTAGGGTTAATGTCCAACCAATAGTAAGCAATTTGCTCTTTAGATATTACATATCTTTCAATTGTATTTAATAGGTCACTACACTTTTTTAGGTTATCATTACACCAGTATATATTGTAGATTTCAATATGTTAGAATTTTGACATTGTGGTGGTATCCATATGACAGAATTACCCGAGTGAAATGCATTTTAATGATGTAAGGAGAATCGAAGAAAAAACTAGTGACATGTTGAATACAATTAAAAGATAATTGACCTAAATATCAAATTGTGTATTATTAGTTGTCATTTTGTGACATTAACCCTTACCTTTATCATCTTGTGAGACTAAAGTACATCTATTCATGAATACCTTATTACCAAGTGCACGACCAAGGCCACAAGCGACTGCTCCAACATCAAGATCGCCTACGTGTGTTCTAAGACTCTTTCTTACCCTAAAAGGACGGATTTTTAAGAATGTAAGTGGGATCTTTTAAGAAACCCTTTAGGCTTTAGGGAAAAGTACAAAATGAAAGTTGGGTCTCAAAGAGTTACCATATAGCAATGAGCAAACCAGCCAGTTGCCTAGATCCTACGCGTTCAAAAGTAGATCCTTCCCCCATAGCCTTCCCCATGGCATCTTGCCACCATTGTCCATTAGAACTTCCTTCAACACCTAACTGCGTAGTGCAAAATGCAAATAATTTATTTCAAGATAATGCTATTCTTGTTTTTGAGTAATGATGTTAGTACATAGTAAAGTTGAGACTTTCTTGATATTGTGTATTTATATCAAGAAAGCAAACATTTTTAACATGGTAAAAACCTTAAAAAAACACAAAAGATCGATCTTACAGTTTCTTTTGCAGCAGACATTGCAAGAAACCCTGCACCCATATCCACTTCTTGCAAACCAACAACAAGAATGTCAACATCAGAAGCCTGAGATCCAACCCACGACACAAGTGCATCATGACATGGTTTCCCTTGACCAACATTCCATGTCCCCACCATAATCCTAACAGTTTCAAGTGTCGTATACATATGTTCTCTTTTCGATAACTCTGGTCTCAAAATATTATCAAGAGGTCCAGGAGATGAAATATACCAACCTCGTATACCACCATGTGTAGCCAAACTAAAAACAGATCCATTCCCAACTACCATTTTTATAACAGGTCCATTATGCGCAATCCACCCAGCAATCAAGTTTCCTTCAAGATCTATTACTTGAACCATTCCACTCACGTACCCGATCCATATTCTTGGCCCATAAGTGCAGAAACAGAGAACAGCGCAATGATGGTGATGAAAATCATGTAAACGGTTGCCATTTGCGTCCCATTGAACTATTAAACCATTTGAACACCCTGTCCAGATGGATCCATCGTAAGCAAGAAGAAGGGCTTCGGTTTTTTTAGCGTCTTCAGCTGCGAATGCGCCTGTTCCCTTCGTTGCAACTCGCCGGACTGCATCTGCAGCTCCGATGATGGCGTTGCGTGATCTTTGTAGAAAACTACCTCCTTGTTGTTTTTCTTTTTTGGACTTTGAATTACTGGGTCTTACACTAGGTTCTTCTTCCGGTGGTTGTTCTCTTTCCGATGAGTCAATTCGGTTGTCGATTTGACCATCTACGTTGTATACTTTCAAAAGCTCCCTCGTACGAGCGTCCCTGTAACAATGGTTTGAAAGTTTAAAGATTGAACTTTGAATGACCATGATGTTTATAATCGAGTGAAAAAAGATACCAGAGTGAGAAACTGAGGGACCCAGCTGCCCATACTTTTGCTTTTACTTTATCTGACAATAGAAACTTGACATCGGAAGAAGATATGTGACAGACGCCATTAATGGTGGCTTGGCTTTTAAGGTCGATACTTGAGCGTTCAACAAGCAAAGCAGCCATGTGACGTTCTTCAGGTGATAAAGCTAGCGACTTTTCAACTGCTTCCCATGGCCAGACCTTTATAACTCCGTTTTCAGACCCCATCCATATATCACCTGCAACAATGGCGGATTGAAAGAGGAAATCATAGGTTAGGCTACATTAATGGTGGTTGAGATTTGAGAAGATGGATTACCATAAGAAGAAGTGACCATGGAAAGAACAGCGCCACGCTGGTTAGCCTGCCATGAGAGGCCTTCTTTGAACGGAGTATCATCGGCGGGCTGTTGATCCATTTTCCATGATCGAATCTTACCATCTTTGTGTCCACTCCAAACCAATTTACTAGCACAATCAATCATCAAACATGTGGTGGGAGGTGTATTTGCAGATTCGTAAAAAGGGGCTGCATCTTCATCACCACGTCGAGCTCTACCGCCGATTCCGAGCCCTGGTTCGAATGCGTCGGAGAAATTCCAAAACCGAACACCGGACTCCTGACCCGCCCACAACTGCGTCTCTGTACAAGCAATCGTCCGGATGAATCTTCCAACTTGAGTCTCCTTTAGCGGGTGAGGTCGGAGTTCAAGGGCGGTGGGTCGACCTGGGTGAACAGCGGATCGAGAAGGGGCTTTGAAGATTCCGGCTCCACCTCCGCTTGCTGAAAATTCCGGCAAAGGGTGTTGGTCTTCGAAGGAGGATGACGAATTCGAATTGCTGTTGTGGCTGTTACTGTTGTTATTTCCATGGAAGAAGTGATTTTGGCTGTTGGGGTCGGAATGAGAAGATTCTGAGAAAGAAGATGAGGTGGCGTAAGGGTAAAAGTCATGGTCGTCATCTTCGTCGGAGTGGTTGCCAAATCCATCAATGGCTGCGCTAATACGGGCATCATCAAGGCTGTGCTGGCGGTGGTTCTGTTTTGGGTGGCGTTTGAAGTTGGTACCGGTGTTTGTGCGGAGCTGTTGTGAATGTGTTTTCCTGGTACCGGCGGTGGAAGGAGGAGGAGCGTTGGCCAGAGCAGACAAGGCGTCGGCATCGCCGTCATCCAACCCCTGGCTCATTTTCCCTTGTGATTGAAATCAATCAATCAATAATTAGTTCATCAATTGCAACGGATGATAACAGTTTCGAGAGCAATCAATCAAGAATTGAAACAACATTTGTGAAGATAGAGGATGAGGGTGAAAGGGTCACAAGAAGGAAGACGAAGAATGAGGCTATGCGTACGGACATGAGGATCTCTCGATGCCATGCAAATATAAAATTAAAATTGATGGCCATAACCATCTCTCTAGTATCTAACCATCAGAAAGTTCACAATTTTCTTTTAACATCAATACACATTTTAATTTATATCTCAAAAGTCAAAACTTCACAATTTTCTTTCAAAAAACGGCATGACTTATTTGCTAGTAACTCTTCTTAGCCTCAAAGGTGGTCTTTGTTTTACAAATTAAATTCTAACATTGGGCAGAAGAAGTTGCTAAGCCTGACGAAGTTGCTAAGCCTGTCGGGAGATAGAAGATGTACTATCGAAGAAGTTATAGGTTGAAGTCTTGAATAGTGGATTCAGAGACAAAGCATAGGACCAAAACACGTAATAAACACGAACAAAAAATATAACAAGGATCAGTATGTAGACATTGTCATGATACGCATCGTTTCCTAGTCACAAGCATTTTGAGAATCCAAGGAAGAGAGAGGACTATGTGAGATTTATTGTTTGGATCTTAGAGTCTTATGTATGTTGATATCAAGGTGGAGTGTTGTAATTATGTATGATACCTCTAGACATGACCAATTGGACATTGTCAAGGAGAAAAATAGGCCATTATTAGATGGTAGCTAGAGAATTGCACCACGATGTAGCGGTGAACTATTGTTTTGCCTGCAGAAGGCTTTTGCTAGATGGTTGCTAAATGATCTAGCATTTTACATTTTTAAGGTTATATGGTTGCGCAACTTCATGGCATGAATATGTCACGACTCCGGGTATGTTTGGTTGATTAAAACAAGTTTTGGGGTAGTCTTTGACCTAGTGCTTAGCCTCATTTCTCTTTGGCGATTTCTTTGAAGATCAAGGGTTTTGTTTCTTCATTTTGACAACTTGCAAGTGATTTTTATACCTCATTTGATTGATCGATCGATAATACAAGTTGTTTGTACCTCGTCTCATTGAAGGGATGTCAACCATCTTCCTAATTGTGGAACTATGTTAAATGCTTGTATATGTTTGTCATTTTTGACCTCGTTCTTGGCCTCGTTTTTCTCTGATAAATTCTTTGAAGATCAAGGGTTTTTTTCTTCATTTCAGTCACTCTTAATTGATTTGTAACCCCCATTTGATTGTTAGTCAATAATACAAGTCGTTTGATATCTGATGTAAATGAACATCATCTCCCCGTTGGTGGAACCACGTTAAATGCTCACTTATCTTATGATAATTTGTTTGTCATTTGCATTTTCTTTATTTCGGTATGTGTTACTCTCATTGCTATATATCTTATGTAACACCCCGATTCTCAGGTATCGATTTTATATAAGAATTTTCTTGATTTCAAGGTCTACTCGATGAGTTGGTTGCCCTAGTCGTCGAGTAGCAGCGGGTTGGTCTGCGTGTTTTAGTGACCTACTCGCCGAGTCCAAGAAGGGACTCGACGAGTAGGAACTGGCAGATTAAACCCTAAATTCCGGGGTATTGCACCCTATTTAAAGGATCATTGGCCTTCCCCATCCTCCCCTTTACAGCTCCTTGGCGCCCTTAAACCCTAAATCGTGTGTGTGTGTGTTTCTTTGGTGTGATAGAGCTTGGAAGAGAGATCTTGGTGAGGAACACTTGGAGGAAACAAGTAAAATCGAAGCTAGGAACTCGTGGGAAGCAAAGATATACATCAGTTGACACTCTCTGGAAGGTATTAAGCTGTCTCTTTGGCTCATCTCATCTTTAACCTCTTTTTGGGTGGGTTTTAGGAAAGGCTTTTGTGTTTGAGCCAAGATCTGAAGTTGCAACTTCAGATCTGGACTCCCTTTGGTCTCTAGATCCATAAAGGTAGCAGCTTTGGCACGTATGAGCTTTCCCTCAAGTGTTGGACTTCATTTCAAGCTTAGTTTTGTCAATTTAGGGCCTTAAAGCTTTGTATGCACGTAAAGTTTGCAACTTTACGTGATAAGCAAGCCTTGGAAGGTTAGATCTGCAATTTGGAGCATTTGCATGGCTTAAAAAGACTCTGTATGGATAAAGGATTTAAGAGACTCAGCGAGTCGCATGGTAGACTCGGCGAGTCCGATGAAGATTTTTGTGGGCTCGGCGAGTCAGATGGGTGACTCGGCGAGTCGGCTAGGGTTTTCCCAACCTTTGGACACGTATGGACTTGGCGAGTTGCAAGAGGAACTCGTCGAGCTGGCCAACAAGTTTACGGCCGCAAACCGTAGGAACTCGACGAGTCACTCTAGTGACTCGGCGAGTTGACTAGTTATGCCAGGAACTCGACGAGTATCTAAGGGTACTCGACGAGTTGAGGTCAACGTGGATTGTTGACCTTGAACGTTGACTTTGACTTTGACCAAGGGTTGACCAGTGGACTTCTGGGGGCATTTTGGGAAATTGGAAATTTATGAACATGGTTTGATGATAACTATGGGTGGTGTAGTTCGTGTCGGTGATCCGAGAGGTTGAGCTTATCTTTCGAGTCGACAGTTGCGAGGTGAGTTATCCTCACTATACTAAGGGGTCTAAGGCACCAAGGCCGGTCCATTGGATATGATATCCTAGCAGTGGTTGTACGATGAGTATGAGTAGTGTTGCATGCTAGTTTCTATGCCAGTTAGGTAGATCAGTAGGACTACATGTGTTGTTATGTGATTATCTGTATGCGCATTAGTTATGATACATGTTGACATATTATGTGGGGTGGATTGAGGTGATACTGCTCCGTGCGGTAACCAACAAACCTGGGAGCATTCCAAATACGAGCTGAGGGCCAGGTGGGGCATGCCAGACTCGTACTGTGGGCTCGGGAGCATTCCAGATACGAGCTGAGGGAGACTCATACTGTGGGCTCGGTGGCAATCCAGATGTGAGCTGTGGGCCCGGAAGGCAATCGAGACTCACACTGTGGGCCCAGGGGTATTCCAGACGGTATAGTTGTGGACCCAGGGCATGTTGTTATTTGTTTATGTGTTATGAGAAGTGTATCGGTTTTTTGGGGGAACTCACTAAGCCTCAAGCTTACAGTTTCAGTTTATTGTTTCAGGTACATCAGGGGTTCGCGGCAAAGCGAAGGTGTGATCGTACAGCTCCTCATGTTTTCTCTGTATTCTGGGATAAACTCTGATATTAGACTATTTTGAAAACAAATTTGTAATAACTGATAGATTTAAATGTTTTTGAAAAGTTTTAAATTGGCTTGAATTTTTGGGTGTTACAAGTTGATATCAGAGCCTTGGTTTGATTGAGTTGGAGGAACATTCGTGTGAATCCAGTCTCAAATCAAGGAAAAAATTTCAAAATGATTTCTAAAATGGTTTTTAAAATAAGTAAAAGAGGATGTAGGGTGTACGATCAGCCGGAGCCAGCAAGCAGACCCCAAAATACCATACAGTATTAGATTATGTGATATGTTAGAACAGCATGCTAGTGCTAGGCTAGGGATCTTCAGGAATTGCATGATAGAATTGCCTGATTACATGATGCCTGCTAGCCTAGGGTTTCCTTTATATGAGATTGACATCATTACTGTAGTTACTTAGTGTATGCATCACGGCTATACATAATTAATATCTTATAGCCTGAGAATGTTTGATTTGGCCTTATGTTTTGTTCTTGTTTGATTGGGAGCTTAGGGTAGGGTTGGATATTCGAAAGTCTATAGGGTCCAGCGTTATGTATGGCTAGCATACACTAGTGCTGCAGGGTTGGTGGAAGTTTCATGGATAGGTGGTTAGTGAGAGGTCGGGAGGCCAGTTATGAGATGGTTAGCCTTTCCTCTAAGGGAGAGGATTGAGCACTTGTCAAGTTATGTGTATTGTTAGGGTATTGTGGTGATACTTTAGACAAATATGGGTAGGTGGGGAAGGTAGTATGGGCCCGTACTACTGAAAGCACAGGACCCATACGCGTAGCAAGGAAGTCACAACCCCTAGGGCTTGGTTGGGAGTTGGTTCCCAGTTATTCCGTGAATTATCTGATATCTTCCTGTTGTATTTTCAGTATGGCGATTACGAGGCGTTTTGTGACCGGATCCTGATCGGGATCAGGGCAGGGTGATCAGGGTGCTCCGGCAGAGCCCGAGGTTGTCGGTCAGGGTGGGCCAGCAGTGTTGACAGAGGATCGTGTCAGGGAGATCATCCGCAAGGACGTGGTCGAGATTGTCCGGGGTCAGATTCCGGAGTTTTTTGGGACTATCAAGTCCGTCATGAGGGAGTATTTCGATGACAGATATGCAGCCCTTGCTGAGACGGCTGCTGCAGCAGCTACAGCGGCAGGAGGAGGAGGAGCCAGTCGGGCTTTCCAGTACAGGGACTTCGATAACACGAATCCCCCTACTTTTGATGGGACTCAGGACCCCATCAAATCCATGAGGTGGATTTCTGATGTGGAGGGGTGCTTCTTCACTTGCTCGTGTCCTACTGACCAGAGGGTCAGATGTGCCCTAAACCTGCTAAGGCTCGGGGCCAAGGACTGGTGGAGATTGAAGACAGGGTCGTACACTGATGATCAGAGAGCTGCTGTTACTTGGGAGCAGTTCAGGGATATGTTTTGCCCGGGTTGAGCGGGAACGGTTGGCTCAGGAGTTTTTTTTCTGAGACAGGATGGGTAGTCGGTGACAGAGATCACCCGCATGTTCACAGAGAGGGCGATGTTTTGCCCTGAGTTTGCTTCTGAGAAAGCTCAGATGACCCGTTATCTGAGCATGCTCAAGACTGACATCCGTCAGTTTGTGTCTGCCCAGCGATGTGATACTCTTTTGGAGCTACAGGAGGCCGCTAGGCGGCGTGAATTGGAGATTGAGCTGCAGTTGAGGGAGCAGCGACAAGCCCCGGCACAGTCACAGTCGGTGCCGAAGCGGTCTAAGACCGCGGATTCTAGGACCGGGAGTCAGCAGAGTCGCACTTGTGGAAAGTGCGGCAAGGGTCATTCTAGGGTTTGTCGAGCTGGTAGTGGGTGCCACAGGTGTGGCAAGGAGGGGCATTATGCGAAGCATTGTCGCCA